GAAGGAAGGAAGGAAGGAAGGAAGGAAGGAAGGAAGGAAGGAAGGAAAGAAGGAAGGAAGGAAGGAAGGAAGGAAGGAAGGACAAGAAGGAAGTAGAGAAACAAGAGGAAGAGGGGCAAGAGGAGGAGCAAGGAGAGGAGAAGGGGGGAGAAAAAGAAAGAAAGAAAGAAAGAAAGAAAGAAAGAAAGAAAGAAAGAAAGAAAGAAAGGAAGGAAGGAAGGAAGGAAGGAAGAGCCGGGCACACACCTTTAATCCCAGTACTTGGGAGGCAGAGACAGGCAGATTTCTGAGTTGGAGGCCAGCCTGGTCTACACAGTGAGTTCCAGGACAGCCCGGGCTACACAGAGAAACCCTGTCTCGAAAAACCAAAAAAAAAAAAAAAAAAAAGAAAGAAAGAAAGAAAGAAAGAAAGAAAGAAAGAAAGAAAAGAAAGAAAAAAGAAAGGAGAAAGAAGGAGGAAGAAGAAAAAGAAAAGGGGAGAGAAGGGATGAGAAAAAGAAGCAGCAGCAGCTAGGGCAGCCTGAACTAAACTGTGCCTGTAGCGTAACTTTGAACTTTCACTTATACCTGAGCCAATGTTATTGGGCTGAATTGTCTGATCTCCCCTTTCTGTTCTTTGTAAGGGTGTTCTTAAAGCATCCTGCATAATAAAAGCACCCTATAAAAACTATCTTAAATGGATTAATCAGGAATATTTTTTTCAATTTTTGCTTTCGTTTCAAGACAAACTTAAGTATTTCAGGCTGGCCTGTAGTTTGCTATGTGGCTGAGAATAACCTTGGACTTCGGATCCCCCTGCCTCTAGCCGCCTCACGTATTAGAATTACAGACATACATCACTAAGCTCAGTACAGAACTGTTTACTGAGAGTTTCTAACAGAGCTATAATTCAGATACTGAGATCCGCCTGGGAGTCACACTGATGGGCACTCACTCTGCAACAGGCTCTGTGCCCAGCTCTGTCCCTGTAAGACTTCCCTTCCCCACAGTGGCCTGTAGCATGAGGGCAGAGCCAACCCCAGTGTACACATCAGAAAGGGACGGCTCCTGGAGCTTATGCTCTCCCACAAAGCTGGCAAGCCATGGAACAGAATCACAGCTACATTTTGTGACAGTCGACCTTGCTGTCTTTTTAAGTTCGTTCTTTACATGGCTTGCTATTACATGGATTTAGATTCAAAGAAGAGAGAAATAATGCTACAGGATTTGTACTTATAGAGAAAACCTAAGGGTTATAAACACACATTGAAGTAAATATATATTATTAAGATAAGTGTAAGTCAAAATTAAGAAATATGGTTCTAACAGTTGTATGAAAGTGAATGGAAGGTCACTACCTTCCAAAGTATCATTCCTGAACACAGAAGATTTGGACCAATGTTATAAGTATGAATGAATTTCTCTGAGCCAGGATTTCACTCTATAGGTGAGAGCCTAAAACTAGCTATTTTGCTGCACTGGCCTCAAACTCATGACCCTATTGTCTCAGCCACTTCAGTGCTAGGTCCAGAGATGTGTGCCCTCGTGTCCAGCTAGAAAAACCAGTTTAGGTTCAATTGCACAAGTGTGTAGGGAGCGTGTGTTGCATGTGTGTGCGTGCGTGCGTGCGGTGTAAGACCAGAGGTCAACCTCAGATGTCATTCCTCAGGGCCTGTCTACCATTTGAGGTCCTTTTCCTCTAAGATGGCGCCTCTCACTGCTCTGAAGCTCATCAAGTCGCCTAGGCTAGCAGGACAGTGAGCCCCGGGCACCCCCTGCCTCTGCCTCCCGAGTGCTGGGATTAAAGGCGTGCGCCACCACCGCCCGGCCTACATTTCTTTATATGGGTCTCATCATAATGTCAGATCATTTGCTTGCAAGGCTGACTGATCCACCTCCCCAGTTGGATGTTTTAAAAAGCTGCTTTGTTTTGCACACAGACCAGCTTGTGCCATTTAGTCCTGAGGAAATAATAGCGGCCACTTCACTCACACTACACCTGCAAAGACAGGTGCCAACCGGCCACACTGCATCCCTGTACAGAACCCACTTCACGGGAGTCTGTAGACAGTACGCATAAAGACACTAAGAAGCACGCTGCTTTCCGCCACACCTACCGTGCCTGCCGAAGAACTGAATGACGACTCTGCATTTATCCGATCTGGTGACTATAGTGCACCTCTCTACACTTCTTTCAAGGTGATTCAGACATCTAAAGATTGGCAGAATTGACTGCAACACAAACACATCGCAAACATTAAACACATACTTACTACGGCTGTCCTGTTAACTTTTAAAACACAACAGATGAAAGTCTGTGTGTTCATTAACGGCATCGGGACGGTTAAATGTAGTATAGCTGTTAAGTCCTACGGAAGGAGTGTTTCTCCCATATAAGAGAAAACCAACTGCTTTTTACCTTTATTGCCAGTTTGCAATTTAAATTCAGTGGTATGTCATTATCACTCATCGTGGCTGAGGGTGACCATTGATAATGTTGAAAAAACATAGACGAGAACAGGATGTAGCCGTATGTGGAATGACAAGAATTCACAGACCTCAGGGCAAGCTGGAAAAGAATTAAGTCAGTCATTTCAGAGAAAACCAACTTCTATCCTGAGTCGATCCTATTGTGACTATAATGCCACAAATACATTCAGATAAAACCATGTGCACAGAATTTGCACACGGGACCTACAGATATGTATGTATCCGTGTTGAACATACATATACAAAAGTTATAATCTCGAGCTCTGATACTGTAAAGCTGTAAATGTCCACAGTGACCATAATGTTAATGCATGATGTGGTGGTGGAAAGTGACAGAGAAGAGCCCTGAGTGACTGACCTCATACCTTGCTCAAGAGGAGAAGCTATCACCCAACTCAGCCATCCTGGGAATGCGTGCCTGTAACTGTCAGGTTTCGGAATTTTTAAATGCTCGAAATTTTACCCACCACACTTTGCTTGGACTTAGCACTTTTAAAACATCTTCTCTTGCTTTAATATATGATCAGTCACTTAACATTCTTTTAAATTTATTTTGGCTTGTATAATAGGTTCTCATAGTTCAAACTGGCCTTACACTTGATATATAGCTGGCTGAGCTCTGTCTCCTTGGTTCTGGGATTATAGGCCTGTGCCATCACACCTGTTTTTTTGTTTGTTTGTTTGTTTGTTTGTTTTAACGGGAAGGAGAGGGTTTGAGACAGAGTTTCTCTGTGTGCCCTTGGCTGTCCTGGAACTCACTCTGTAGACTAGGTTGGCCTCAAACTCACAGAGATCCCTCTGTCTCCTGGGTGCTGGGATTTGAGGAACATCTGGCTTTTTAACTTGACTTACTTACACCTTTCTCAGACGGGTCTAGCCACAACTCATCGCTCACTCGTGATAGAGTTTGTATTGCTTTCCCAAATACTATGGAGGAAAAGAAAGTTGCTGTTCAAATTCTTTTCAAGGAGCAAAGAAAACTCACGAGACTACTTTTGCATGCACAGGACTCAAGTGAAAACAGAAAAGGATGGTGGGGTCAACTGAATAACTCAATCACGCCTGTCAAATTCAATTGATTCTTCTGTTGAGCTCTGTTACTGCCCTGTGGGTCAGACCTCCAGAGGTGGAAATAAGGGATTTGGGTTTTACAGAGACAAAACTACTCCTCAACCAAAACACTAGTTATCTGAAATTGTTGTCAACCATCCTACCCAAACTTCAAGGTCTACTCTAACTAACCCATTCCATCCTGGCTCTACCAAACATTCTGAACTTGATCTTGGGCTAAAGGCTAGAAACTAACTGGTTATTACTTCCTTTGATTCATGACCTGTACATACTATAACAGCCTTCATCATCTTGGCTTCCAACATGCTATGTTATGTTAACATGTTAAGACTATAACGATCTCAACTTTGAGGCTGTGTCAAGTTCTACCGAAGTGCATCACCCTGAGAGGAATCACCCTGACAGGAATTCACCACAGTGTCCAAATGTATGTGATGCCACAGGGCTGCAAACAAGTGGTTTGAAATTCTCTTTCCTGAATATGTCTGGACAATTTCCCGTTAAGTGATTACATTTAACTTTTAGGGTAAAAGAAAGCTCAAGATGCACCTGAGAGTTAAATTACTTAGCTGATCCACATGGCATTTTATAGACTAATTTACATTAGGAAATACTATATACCCTTACCTACATACATAGTAAGAATTCAAAAAATATGCATCAATACAAAATTCAACATTATTTCTCCTGTGAGCCAATTTCCATGCTAATGCTCTCATGCATTTTGTTTTTTGAGTTCTCTCAATCTCTGCAAGGGGATGGAACACAGGGACTTCTTTGTATGTGCCAAGCAAGTTGTCTATCTACCCATAAACCCCGTCCCCAGCCCAAGCATTCATAGTTCCCTACATAGACCTTTTAACCAATGAGCTCATTACGTGGACTTTTAGTCCACGCTCCTAACAACCTCTCTCAACGAAGGTGTTCCTATTAGTCTCATTTTTTCGACTGAGTGACACAGAAGCTTGTTCCGAGATCATATATTAAAACAAAAACAAAACCCAACTACAACCAAAAAAACCGTCTCCGGCAGAATCTCGGATAAAGAGCAGGTTGGTTTTTCTCAGCTCAAAAATATTTTTCGCGGGTTATTTTCCCCTCAACTTCTCCCCACGTTAGCCCTCAACAATCCGAGCTTAAGGCCCAAGGCCATAATTCATTTCTCGGTCACCAAATTAAATACTAGGCATAAATAAAAGGACTGGGACTGGCATGCTATTCGAAGCCCAGCAGGGCCCTCGCGATGGGCGCCATGGCCCCGGCTTCGCGTCGTCAGTCGTGGCGAAGAATGGCAGAGAAGGCGTGGGAGGGTGACGGAGACCCTTCACAAGCGTTAGACTTTCCCTCTTCTAAGTAGCAAAGCAAGAATGGCCGCTCCACCTTTCACCTGACCGCCCGTCATCCCGCATTTCAGCATGGCTACGGGAACAGCAGGCATGGCGGGCGGAAGCGCGCCAGCCGCAGGTGCCCGGATGTTGCCCGCACTTTCCGCGTGCTCAGCCTCTCCCTTGCCCCGCCCACAAGAAATTTCTCACAGCGCCGTTTTTTGGCTTTCTGACGGGGAAGGACCCTTACGGGCCCCCGTAGGACAATCTCTCGCCAACTCTGCCTCTCATTGGTGGAGGAAGAAGTGGGCGGGCCACCGAGGAGCCTGAGGAAGAGGGCGGCGGCGTTCGTGGTGACTGAACGGAGAGCCCCGGTGACAGGATGGTGAGCCCCACGGCGGCGGCGATCCGGGTCGGGCCGGGATGCTGCGGCGTCCGGTTGGGAGGGTGGCGAGGAGGATCCGGGTGGCGGCGGAGGAGAAACGGGAGGACCGCGGCCGGCCGAGGGTGCGGCTCGGCCTGGCGTCGCCCCTCGCCCCAGCGGCCAGAGGGCGTGCGAGGCGGACCCGGCCTGTCACGAGATCGGCTCGGTGCGGCTCGGGGAGGCCTCCGGCCGTCGGTGTGGCCGCACGTCTCCCTCCTGTTCCTCCCCGGCTTGCTGGGGTGAGCCGGCCTCGGTGTAGAGCGCGAAGTAGCCGCCGCACTGGCCCCAGCGGACGGGGACCCGAAAAGGAACCGCTCGTCTCCCGTGGCCGCTGCGACCCCAGAGAGCGAACTCGTGGGGATCGTTTGAAGTCTGCGGAGATGCGCGTGTTATTTGGAGAGCCTTAGCTTCCGCAGTCTGCATCAGGCCTTTGCCCCCCCAATAGATTGCTGCCCCTACGAGTTTTCAGTGTGAAATTTGGGAGAGCAGGCATGTCCCTATAATCAGATTTTCGAAGGCTCTCTTTGCTCTTCCAAGTTTGTGTATATGTGTGTGTGTGTGTGGGGGGAGGGTTCTGTTGACCTTTGCTGTTCATGCTGCTGAAGGTTAAAGTGAAGGCACCTCTCCGGCTGATGGGCACGCGTTGCGTTTTGCACAGATTGTTCGTGTGCAGGCAACATTTAAAAAGGTGGCTTTATAAGCCGTTCCAAAGATACATGTTTAAAGTCACTGGATTTTTGCTTCTAAAAGCGAATTGCTGCTTTAGACTCCAGTTTAAAGTAGACTAGTTCGTTGATGGCGATTTGGGGACGCTTGCAAGGAAGAAGAATTTGCTGGGATGATTCCATATTCATGTCTCTGAAGTCGTTTTGAGAGGCGAACGCTTACGTTTAAGGGCAGTTGCTCTGCTGTGCATCACATTTCTTTTAAGTTTTAATTTTTGTGTATGTGTTTCTACATGAGTTTACGTGCACCAAATAAGTACAGGTGCCACTAGGGACCAGAGGTCCTGGGATCCCCCGGAACTTGATTTACAGGGAGTTGCGACGTGCCATGTGGGTGCTGGGAACCAAATCCGGGTCCTTCGTACGATTAGCAAGTGCTTTTAATTGCTGAGCCATCTCTTCCAGCCTAAGTCAGGTTACAATGATGTAGCCCTGGCTGGCCTGGAATTCAGAGATCTGCCTGCCTCTGTCTCTGGAGCGTGCCATCACACTGAATGTGTGTTTGTTTTTATTGTCTTGATCTTTCCTTGACATTTTCATCACACGATAAAGTATTCATGCTAGTAATGTCCTCTATAGCAAACAACTTACCCTGGAGCATGATTTTTCAGTATTAGAACCTCAAACGTTTTATATATATATATCTCCAGTATATCTAGAGATGACAAGACCCCAGGAACAAGAAAATATTAATCTTAACCTATTCCTGATGAATTCTTCAAATTATAAATATCGAATCTTATATAGAGTAGACAAAATGAGAAATAAAAGAGACAGGAGTTGGTGTGGAAAGCAAGATTAGAAAATGTAGACTGCCATCGACAGTTTGCTGTGTGGGTGTTTGTCCTGTTATGAATATGAGTAGTCCTTTTGGAATTATTTTCGGCACAGCTGATTTTTAACATTTCCTTCCATAACATTCAGAAATCATTAACAATTTTTGCATATTTGGTATGGGTGTTTTTTTTTTCTTTTAACTTTTGTTGCTTTCTTTTAACATTGGTCATGTTTCACCCCCCTTTTTTTTCCATTCCCCTGTCTGCAATCAACTTCTTCATTCCACTAAGGCTGGGCACAGAGTAAGTTTTTCTCCACTCCTACTAACAATGGTGGTTGGGTGGCTGATAACTGACTGGGTTTCTCACCCTTTCCAGCTCTGTCAAATAGGGAGTAACCAAATCCCCATACTTTGTTTGGGTTTCTTTCTTATATATCAATCTGACAAGACTTTGGTTTCCCGATCTTTTGCTGCCTCTACTGTCCCTCTAACCTGATTTGTCATTGTGGAATTTAGCCAAGGGCGCTCTTGAGACGTGTCATGTAACTCTATTTCCCATAACTTGGTCACCAGCGGAAAACCATAGAATTCTCTCTTACTGTGGAGCCGTGATGCTGCCTGTATGGCCATTCATCTAGTCACAGTCTTCACACAGCAATTGTCAAGAGGACTGTGGCACCTTAGAGAGCTGATGTCTTCAATCAGGATAACAGTGTTATGTCTCAATATGTTCTTTCTGGTACATTCTGCCTGAACACTTCAATTTTAGTCCCAGAAGTTTTGAGCCTGTTTTAGACGTACACCCTCTTATGAGTTCAGAGTTCTTTTAATACGATTTTTTTTTTTACTTTTCCTCAAATGTCAGCATCCCACAATAACTCTGTCCTTCAATCCAAATCTGAAGGAATCCTCCCCTAAAATGAAGACGGTGTGTCAGGGCACCTGTCTATTGATTGAGGATGGATACTTTCTAGAAGTTTTAGCTTTCAAAGGTTTTTCCCTAAAGTGTGCTCATTTTATGACCACCCACCTGTTACTTCAGCTACTCTGTGTCCTGATGACTGTTCCTTTTGGTTTTGTTGTAAGGTAAATCAAGTTTGTTTTTGTAATCATTATCATTTCACACATTTTTTGTTTTGTTTTGTGTTTTCAAGACATGGTTTCTCTGTGTAGCTCTGGCTGTCCTGGAATTTAATCTGTAAAACCAGACTGGCCTCGAACTCAGAGATCTAGCTGGCTCTGCCACTTGAGTGCTGGGATTAAGTGTACACCACCACTGCCCAGCCACATTTTAGTTTTTGATTGATTTTGAATTTTAATTAAACTTTTTTATTTAGTTATTTTATGTTGGATGTGTTTGCCTGCTTGCCTGTCTGTACTACATGTGTGCCTGGTACCCTCTAAGGCTAGCTAAGCAGGTGTCAGCTCCCCTGGATCTGGAGTTACAGTTGTGAGCCATCATGTGCTGGGAATCTGGATCTCTGGAAGAGCAGTCAGCTCTCTTAACCACTGAACCACTCCCTGGCTGCCAAATTAACTATTTTAAATTAATTTTAACATTATGGTGGCAAAACTATTTGCTTTATCTTATTAAACATGTCATACTTTGATAGTGTTTAGGGATAGCCATGCCTTCAACAGCAGGTAAAGAATATGTGTACTAACTCTTGGAAAGCCTGTGTGAGGAAACCCTGGAAGGCGCTCTTACTAACAAACAGGGAAAGTTTTCTGTCGCTCTCATGGGGACATGTGTTCTCCTTAAATGAACTTTTAAGTAGTTCTCTATTTTGTTCAATCTTGAAATTTTTTAATTTAAAATTTCATAGTATTACACCCCTGCCCGTGAACACCCACCCCGACCACCACACACATTTTGGACAGGATTTCACTGTGTAGCTCTGTCTTGTCTGGAACTTGCTTTGTAGCCTGGGCTAGTCCTGAACTCACAGAGATCTGCCTGACTCTTCCTTCTTAGTGCCGGAATCAAAGGTGTACACCACCATGCTTGTCTTAGGATTGGCTTTTTAATTCTTTGGTATTTCAGAGCAGATATTTTGTCATCTGAGACACTGGCAGCTCCCAACTACCTCCTGCTAAACTCATCACTCTGTTTGTTTTACTTCTCTGTGCACATAAATGGTTGTGACAGTGTGGTTTCAAGTTTACAGACTATGCTAAGTGAGTGGAAGAACCTGCTTTATCCAGGTTTTACAGATATGACAGTGGTGATTTCTAGTGAAACAAAATGAAGATAGTGAAACTTAAAAATCAGATACATCTGCAGAGACTCTAAGCATAGGTGTTGGTGCCCTGTAACACACTGCTGAGAGTTTGAAGTAACAAATTCAGTTATTTTTGGCTATTGTTTTCCAAAGAGTTCTTAGCATAAACTATAAAATAAACCTTTTCCCTACTATTTCATTTTTTCTATTAATATATATATATATATATGTATATATATATATATATATACACACACACACACACACACACACACACACATATACTGATGTATGTATTTTGTGTGTGTGATAGTTTCACTTTGCAGCATTGGCTGGCCTAGAACTGGAACTTGCTTGCCATGTAGCCCAGGTTGGCCTCGAAGTAGTACTCTTCCTGTCTCAGCTTCCTGAGTGCTGGATTTACAAGCATGAACCACCATACCAATCACATAATCAATCAATCAACCAATCAATCTCTCAACCTCTCTCTCTCTCATTCCTTTCCTCCTCTCTTCTCTCTTCCTCTCCCTCTTTCTCCTTTTTTGAGACAGGATCTCACTGTGCTATCTTAGGCTGGCCTGGATTTCTTTGTAGACTAAGTTGTCATCAAACTCATGAGATCAACCTGCCTCTGCTTCCTGAGTGCTAGAACTAAAGGCATGAGCCACCATACCCAGCCATGTGGTTCTGAGCTGCCTTGTGGGTGCTGGGAACTGAACCTAGCACCTCAGGAAGAGCAGCCAGATCTTTTAACATCTAAACCATCTCTCTAAACCCATATTATTTCATTTCTAATAATTTCCTTTAACAATGCTTTTCTCAGTTAAATAGGTTTTATATTATATAGTTGCAGAAATAAGAATTACTGTCATTCTTCAAAACTACCAAATGCTATAGATTCTAAATCAATTTTTTAAATTGTTTTTTACTTTTTCTGAGATAGAATCTGTATATAGTAGTGGCTCCCTATATAGCTAGATAGGCCTTGAACTTGCAGCGGTCCTCTCCCCCCCCCCCCCAACCCCTGCTCTCTGCTGGGATTATAAATGCATGCTCTCACACCTGGCTAATGAATCATTTTA